TGGTCCGGTTCGCTCTCTCTGCCACGCCGTTGGACTGAGGGGTGTAGGCCGTGGTGAGCTGCTGCTTGATGCCATGCCGCTTCAACCAGCTCCGGAACTCCGCTCCCAAAAACTCTCCACCACGGTCACTACGAATCGCCTTCACCCGCTTGCCGCTCTCTCGCTCCACCATGGGCAGCCACTCTTCAATGATGACCCTTGCAGCATCACTCTTCTTTGCAAGTGGAAAAGACCAGGTGAGCCTTGTGTAATCATCCACCATAGTCATGGAATACAGGGCCCCGCCATCTCCCTTCACCTTCATGGGCCCCACAAGATCCACATGCACGAGCTCCACCGGGTCACTTGACTGCCCCACCGTCGAATGGAAGGGAAATCGTGAGAAATTGCTGGTCAAGCAAGTCTCACAAGAGCCCACCTCCTTGGGCTCCCCCTTTATCCTCAGCCCCTTGACTCTTTCCTCCTTAAACAGCTGCTGTAACTGAGGTAGCGCCACGTGGCCAAAACGACGGTGTGCGGTGAGCCAATCCGTCTCACCCGTGCTAGGAGTTACACTTGGTAGCGCAACCCCCCCATGCACAAGCAGCCCACCATAACTGCCATCACCACCTCCTCCACTGGTTACGTGGCTTGCATGCCCTCCTCTTACAGCTCCTGCAGCCAAGCGCGCAGCCACCTCCTTCCATGGCAGCACCGGTATCTCCCACATGGACCGGTGCATGTCCTTGCCGCCTCGGAGGTCCCACAACACGCGCCCATCCAGAGTTGCCTTGAACACCTTTGTGCCCATCATCTCCATCTTCATCCCTGCCTCACTCAATGCCTTGGTAGAGAGAAGGTTGGCACATAGTCCAGGGACAAGAAGAACACGCTTCAGCCCCACAAGCCTCCCATCCGCACCCATAAACATGGCTCTCCCCTCGCCACGCACGGGTATAACTTGGCCGGTGGCTGAAACAACGGTGGCTGCCTTTGATGGTCTGACTTCATCCAGCAGATCCTCTCAGTTGGTCATGGTCATGAAGGCTCCTGTGTCGATGACCCAATGGGAGGAACGATGAAGAGCAACCTTGCTGGCCGGTACAACCATGTCCTCGGAGCATGCCTCTCCTACATGGTAGAACATGCCGCCATGTCCGCCGGCACCTCCATCGCCCTCCTCACTGCCCATGCCTTCTCCCATAGCTCCATGAACACCCTTAGAGCCTTCAATTGATGGCTGACCAGGCCTCCAACCATCAGGTAGCTTGCGGCACTTAAACCATGGGTGACCTTCCACATGGCAATACCAACACTTGCCGCCACACCGCTTGCCTCCCTTATTGCTACGCTTCCCTCTCGAATACTGCTCCCCTCTAGAGCCTTCCTTGGCCTTTCCTTTCTTGCTGCCATGTCCCTTGAACCCTTTCATGCCATAGGCAGAGCCTCCACCTTCACCGGCAGCGGCAGTCAGCTCCTTCCTCCGAAACTCCTCTTGAAGGACTTGAGCACGGATCCACTCAAGGGACCATGAGTCCTTCATGCCATTGAGGTTGACCACCAAAGGGCCCCACGACTCCGGCAGCAGGGAGAGAGCCTTGTAGCACTTGATCTTCTCAGGGTAGTCCACACCAGCAGACGAGAGCTTCACATAGAGGTCCCGGAGTTGATCGAACGCTCCTTGCACGGCATCACCCTCGTTGATCTTCACCGCATGGAGTTGTCGTTCGAGCACCACCACCAACAACAAGCCACCACAGGTCACCACACGTGCTCATGTGTGCGCACCTACTTCGCAAGTGCAAGGTGACGGTAACGACATGCACCGCCACGCACATTGCGCAGGTGCCAAGTCAACCACATGTCGACGATTGCACCTGAGGAGTCCTGTTGACCACGTGCCACCGAACCGCAGGTCGACATTGCCAATCTACCTGGGCAATAGTCGCGAACCTCGCAGACCTCGTCGTCCGGGTAACCTGGTCAACCAGGCAACCATGTCGACCAGGTGTGTCATCCCAGGCCCGTCGACCGCCCAGGTTGACGACCACCACATGTCGACCTCACCCAGTCGGCTTCCCCTGGTTGGCGTCACCCAAGTCGACGCCCTCCACTGGTCTACCTCCCAAGTCGACCAGCTGAAGTTGGCGCCCTCCCAAAGTCGGCGTCCTTGCAGTGGCCCTTGTGCAGGTCGACCAGGCCCGTCGACCAGCTCGCCCACTGTTGCAGGTCGGCTGCACTCCTCACACCCGACCCCGAGGTCGGCTTTGCCCAAGCGAGGACGGGGCCAACAACTACTCCCGTTGACACTCCCCTGCCGCGTTCATTCTTGGGCCCCCAGCCCAGACGACAGCACTACTTGGAGAATAGCTCGTCGGCGTGCACCCAACACACAGCACGCCGGTCACCGCACCAGCCATGCAAGAGGGCATGGCACCTACTGCTGCACGCCATTGTCACCGTCGCCCACATCGACTAGGCGCACCTGGCCGATTGCAACGGAGCACCGGTTGAAGGCCGGGTAGTGCAGCGCCTTCGTCAGGAAGTCGCTGGCTGCTCAGCGGTCGGGATGTACCTCAGTGAAAACTTCCCGTGCTTCACCATGTGCTGCAGCCAGGCTTGTCGTCGCTCCATGTGCTTGAGGTTGCCCGTCAACCCCATGCCCTCGGCGACTGTGATGGCCGAACAGACAGCGTCCCGGCGTCCAGCTGCTGGAATTCTACAAGGAGGAAGCGAAGGCGGCGTCCCTCCTTGCCGGCTTCGGTTGCCACCACATACTCCGACTCGATTGACGACAGCGTTGCGCACTTGATGCGTTGGCTCGACCAAGAGATGGCGGCCCCTCCAAAGACAAACACGTATCCGCCCGTGCTTGTTCGGTTCTGCTTGTTGCCGGCGTCTTCGGCGTCCACGTAGCCGACCAGCTTCAGCAACTCTGCTCCACCACCGAACTCCAGGGCGGTGTCACGGGTGTTGGCGAGGTAGGCGAGGCAGTGGTCGACCTCGTGCCAGTGCTGGTCGCTCCTCACAGTGAGGCCGCTCCCCAATTGCTGCAGGCAAAGGCGATGTCCGGCCTCGTCGTCGTCCCCGCGAACTGCAGCGAGCCGACCTTCTGCCGGTACTCCTCCTAGCGCACCTGTGCCTCCTCGTTATCGAAGGTGAGTGTGGCATAGGCGTCGACCGAGACCGGCGTCTTCGGGGTGCGCCCGTTCTGCTCCTCGTCAAGGAACCGCCAACGCAGCTTGTCGGCGTAGCCCTGCTGATGCAGCCACAGATTCCTCACCGACCTGTCGCGCACGATCTCCAGCCCGAGGTACTTCTGCACCGGCAAGATCCCCCACAACTCGAAGGCGGCCTTTAGCAGCTCCTTCAGCTCCTTCAGCATCGCTGCACTCCTGCTGGCGGCGAGCAGGTCGTCGACGTAGACCAGCACCCAGCAGGTCACCTTGTCGTCGCCGACTTTGAAGTAGAGCGCCGTGTCGACCTGGCTCTTCTTCCAGCCAGCGCCCAGCAGCACACCCTCGAGAGCCCTGTATCACAACAACGGCGACTGCTTCAGGCCACAGAGGCTCTTCAGCAGCTTGCACACCCGGCCGGTCCCGTTGTTGAAGTAGTCCGGCTGGTACATGTACAGAACCCGGTCGAGCATACTCTGTAGGAAGGCGTTCTTCGTGTCGAGCTGCATTAGGTTGAGGTCGCGGACGGCGACAATGCTGAGGAAGATCCTCAGCTTGATGTAGCTACTCACCGGCGCATACGTCTCGTCGTAGTCGGCGCCATACACCTGCGTGAAGCCCTTCACGACTAGCCTTGCCTTCTCGCGCTCGACGGTTTCGTCGATGTGGTACTTCGTCGTCAGCACCCACCGGTTCTTCATGATGTTCACTCCCGGCGGGCGTTCGACCAGCTCCCACGTCCCCATGCCAACGAGGCTGCGGATCTCCTCCTCCATGGCGGCCTTCACCGCCTTGCCCTTCTAGCTCGCCAACGCCTCCTTCACCGTCATCGTCGAGATGTTCCAATGGTGCTCGGGGTCGGCGTGCATGTCGAGGTCAAGCTCTGGAAAGTCTTCGTTCTCCTCGGCGCCGTCGTACTGCATGTCGTCATCAACCTCGTCGTACGCCGTGGTGAAGGTAGCCGGTACGTAGAATTCGGGCGGCCTCCGAATTCGGCCTGACTGCCTTGGTCCACGTTGGTAACGAACCCGTTGGTATAGAAAAAAGGCTGAAAATCAGTCAAATCAGGGTAAAAAGCTTGATATCTGAGGGCCTGCCTCAAGGCACTTTTTAAAAATCTTAAAAAATGCCCTGATTTGTCAGGGCAAATTTTCAAAGCCTTCCTGTATGTTCAGGGCTTCTACAGACATTAATCCTGACCCGTATTCAGGGTTCAGATTTCAGCACAGACCAGACCAGACTCTGCTGAGCAGAGCAGAGCAGCATGGCACACGACGAGATGGGAGTGTTCCCTGTTTCCCCCATCTGATGCATTTGGTTGGTGCATTGCGCAGGGTCGGAAGTGCAAGGGGGTCGCGAAGGCGGAAAGCAATCCGCACGGGGAAAGCAATCCGTGGGGGAAAATTTTCCGGGGAACAAATTCCCGGGAAACGGTTAACCCCCCACCCCCCCCCCCCCCCCCCCCCCCCCCCCCCCCCCCCCTCAAAAAAACAAAAACGCGTCACGGTATAATAACATCCTGAGAGCTCAGGGTTAAAAGTGGCACTATTCTGAAATTACGGGGCAAATTCAAATATGTATCCTGAATTCAGGGTAATCAGGATGTTTTGCCCTGATATCGTGGGGCCTGGTCCCAAGTGCATATGGATAAAAAATCCGAGGAATCGGGGTGTGTCAAGCTTATTAAACCATTGTGCTATGCTATCCAGATCCGCACATGGGTGCGAATTAACTGACGACGGTGAGTATATCCAGGTGATGACGGTAACAATGTAATTCAATTCCTGATTCACAGATAAGGAACCAGAAGAATGCCCTCCATGCCAGCCAGTACACATAGCTCCTCTATGCCGCCATCTCTTCCTCGATGAGCATGCGCTTGAGCACCTCATAGCACATGAAGGAGATGCCAGCAGCTGGCATCATCTTCACACACGATGGCACCACACCCCTGTATAGCCCCTTCACCCCGTGCTCCCTCACAATGCACTGCATGCAGTGCAGCATGCCCCTGTATGCCATTCTGCCACCCGTGGCGCCCATTTGTAGCTGCAGTGGAGGGGGGAGGAAGGAGGCGCGCCAGGAGAGCAGCCGGGGATAAATTAGAGATGAAACATGAAAGCCATGAGGAGTAGGGTAAGGAGTGGTAGAAGCAGAGACGACTATAGCAAGGCGAATCAGACAAAAACAATTTGGTTGTCTCAAAATAAAGAAGCAGGCCGCATGTATCGTACCTGCTCAGACATGGATCGTGCCTGCTCAGACATGTATCGTACCTGCTCAGACATGTATCGTACCTGCTCAGACATGTATCGTACCTGCTCAGACATGTATCGTACCTGCTCAGACATGTATCGTACCTGCTCAGACACGTATCATACCTGCTTCCTGGTGACTTCCAGTGGGAACGTGGAGGCAGCAGCAAAGCACCCAGCAGTGGAGCCAATAAGCAGCGTGATCAACGGGTCAATCTGCTTCACCTTGGCCGCCTTTCTATACGCCGTGCACAGTGCATCATATGCAAAGAAATTCGCCCCCGAGTATGGAATCACGCCCATCACACTCGGCGCCAGCCCGCGATACAGCGCCCCCACGCCCTCCTCGCGCACTATGCGGTGGAAGGCGTGCAGGAAGCCGCGGTAGAGGTGCGGGCTGACTGTGAGGCGCGTCTTGACGAGCTCTAGTGGGTACATGAGAACTGTGGACGCTATGCCAGCAGAGGAGCCCGCTATAGAGGAGATGGGCAGCGGCAGGGGGAAGGGTAGCGGTGCGGGGAGGCCTGGTGTGGGAGTGAGAGCGCGCTTGACAGTTTCGTACGTGAACATCTGAGGGTGGTATGAGGGTGAATGGGGGGAAGAGGGGGGGGGGTGCGAGGAGGGATTACCAGGTTGCTTTCGACTGACACATGCATTACACGAATAAGGGGGAATGAAAGAGGCGAGTAAAACAGAGAGGTGGAATGGATAGGGGCTGGGTTCAGTTGGGAGGGGCAGGATGGTCAGTAGGGGAAGGGTGGGGGGAGAGGGATAAAGCTAATATGCAGGTGATAACACGGAGATGTGAGGCATGGGTTGCGAAATAAATGGCTTGAGATTTGACTCTAAAAAATGACTCTACAGCGAACGATGAGCAGGCAGATTGCAAGGCACAGCTAGTGAACTCAAGCCCTCCTCTCTCAGCGCTGGTGACGGCGGCGTTCAAGCCTCTCTGAAGCCACAGCTCACCTCGATGGCCTTGCTGGGCGCCACACGCAGCACGTTGATGGCGTTGCCGCGGAACAGCCCCGCCCACCCTTCCTTCTCCACCACCCACTTGAACACGCGCGTCATGCTGCCGTTCGCCGCCACGCTCCCCACGTCCGCGCACATCATGTGCGTGCGCACCGTCTCCAGCGGCGCCACCGCTGCCCAAGTGAGGGTGGAACGACAGCAGGCGGGGAGAAAGGGTTTGAAAGGGGAAGGTAATTTTTAGTGAACTCTAAAGTCACTGCGTCCGCGCACATCATGTGCGCGCGCATCTTCTCCAGCGGCGCCACCGCTGCAGCAACCAGCGTGAAACGATAGCGTTCGGGGACAGGGTTTCGGAGACAAGGCAGCGTCAGCAACCCGCCAGGTTTAGCGCTCTCATCGAAAAAAAAAAAAAAAAAAAAAAAAAAAAAAAAACAGCGACTTCGCAAAACCCGCTGTCGATGTTCGGCGGAAAATACCCGAGTGTCGTAAGAAGCGCATTGGAGCAACTTGGCTCTACACCCGAGAAGCCATGTTCGACGGCGTACCTGTTCTCGATACACCGCCTGCGACGGCGCCGCTGAGCAGGCGGCTGGCGGCGGGGCTCAGGCGAAGCTTGACCTTCACCTGCGCGCGCGCCACCATACTCGCCACCGCGCTCTCCGCTGCCGCGCGCACTTGCGTCATGGCGCCGCTCGCCGCGCGCTTCAGTTGCGCCACTTGCGCCGCTAGGGGCTGCGCCGGGTGTAGGCTCAGTCGCGCGCCTTCTCCGCCGTTGACGCTACCGTGGTGGCTGAAGTACGCCGCAGCAGCTGCGGTTGGTCCCCACGACGTCACCTGCTGTTCGGGCAGGGGGAACTCGCGCACGAGGATGTCCATCTCCGCCGTTGGTTCCTCCAGCGCGCGGAGTGAATAGGAGTGCGCGTGCGCCATCCCTGCTAGCACCAGCGGCGATCGTTGCGTCGCACATTGCTGCGACGGCCTTGACGTCGCCGATAACGGCGTCGCTTGCTCTGCGAACTTGACGCGCGACGTCGCCACCACGCGCGTGGGCGACATAGGCAACGGAGCGACGGCGTCGACGGAGACTCCGGTGGGCGACAGTCGCTGCTGATGCAGCTTCTCTCCGCGCTCTCGCAATTGTGCGAGTCCGTGCGCCTTTCGCGGCAATGGCAGGGCCGCAGCGAGTTTGAGCCCCAGGAGCCCGCTGCTGTGCGTCGTCGCCGCATATAGCGGGATGCGAGACTCGCCGGCTCTCGCGGTGGCGCCAGTGGGGGCAACGGCGGTCGGGTGATCGGCAATTGGGGAAGCTACTTGGTGAATTGCAACGCGGCTGTTGCTTGGTCCTGATGTTGCATCATTGGCGCGGTGGGTCGCCATGCTCGCAACAGGAACGAATGTCGCGATGTTTTGACACAGACGCGTGTGACGGCGACGAGGAAGTAAAGCAACGAGGAAAGTCCGTTAATTGAGCAGTTCACGGCGCGAGCTTGAAAGGTTGCAACAACTTGGTCCCTGAGAGGTGACTGCAAAACTAATAATGATGGGCACGGTAAACAGATGGAGAACACGGATGAGTGAGGGAACAACAGAGATGTGAATGAAGGCAAAGGTGGGCTTGCTTGTTGAGCCCACAACACAACCTCGACCTTGCGTCGACCGTCAAGGGCAGCGTTTGGCGTGCTACTCGAAGTCCCCCCCCCCCCGACCCACCGCAAACAAACCAGATGCTACGCAGACCGCGCTCCGACCAGCAGCCGCCAGTCCCCAGGTGGCGACATTTGCTGCTAGTTTAGTCCAGTGTGATCATGCGTACACTCTAAAAGTTGCCAACTTTCGTTCATTGCAGTGGGAGTGCAAAATGTTCCGCGGTGGCAGCGCACAACCGGGCAGGCGAATGGTTCGGCGTCCGTCACAGGGATTTGGCAAACAGCCAGAGGCGGGAGAGATAATTACGTGTGGCGGCCGGCGCAACGAACATGTGGCACTGGCATATTGGCTAAATTATGGATCAACCAATCAAACGAGGACGGACATCCATAAAGCTGTAATCAAAGCACTTTTCCCGCGTAGATAATGCATCACAATGACCAGCGCACGAAAGTGTTGAGTGCACCACAGTGCACCCGAGAACAAAGAGTTACGATGTTCCGCTTTAGAAATGAATATGATAAGAGTCGAAAATAAAACCACTAACAATACCTGAAGGTATGACTCACATATTGATCACTATTACCGTATCACCCCGGATAGAAGCGCAGGCCTATTATAAGCGCATGCGCTTCTATCTGGAGCAATGCGCTTATGGCCGATCCTCAATTATAAGCGCACATCCTGTGAAAACGTTACTTATTATAAGCGCATGTACAATTTTAAATTAAAATTTCTGTTTGAAACAGTAGCGAGTTTCAATTTTGAAGCGAGTACAATCTCATTTTCGCTGAGTTTGACTCTCGAAGACCTGACTGGCTGCGCGTCCAGTCAAGATGTGCTGGCATGACTGCAAAGTGTTGCATCTTGGCCCCTGTGTGCTGGAAGAGAATCGCTTGCAGGAGATTCTGCATTGTGACGCGAAAATTTCCGACTCGGTTGAAATGGCAAGAGTGAAACATACAATTTGGTGTCTTAAATTTATAATTTTGTATATGTCAGTATATAAGCGCATGCGCTTATAAAAATGACTCAATTAGAAGCGCACCCAGTGGGGTACTCAATAGTGAGTACAGCCCAATTTAGGGTTTGCTATATGTACTCAACTGCTTGCTAGTGCAACCCCTCTTTCTTGTTTCTAACTTCCATTCCTCATTTCTTCACATGGTATCAGAGCAGGTCGACCCTCACGGGTCGATCCCGTGGATGGGCCCACCAATGCTTCAGCTGCTGCTGTCCTGCCTATCGCGCGCCTCGGGCGCGCGCTATCTTTCTGCCTGCCGCGCGCCCATGGTGCGCGGCCCTTTTTTTTTCTTCCCGCCGCGCGCCCCTAGCGCGCGGAGGTTTTCTGCCCGTCGCGCCGCCCTGCTGGGCGCGCGACGCTTTGCCTGCCCGTCGTGCGCCCCGTGGCGCGCGACGGTGCCCTCCTCTGTCGCGGCCTCGCCCTGGCCCTGCCCCGTCGCCTGTCGCGGCCCCGTCGCGGCCTCGCCCCGGCCCTGCCCCGTCGCCCGTCGCGGCCCCGTCGCGGCCCCGCCCCGGCCCTGCCCCGTCGCCTGTCGCGGCGCACCGGGGGCCCGCGCACCGCGGCCCCCCCAGGGCGCCGCGACGGGCGACGGGAGGGGCGACCTGGGGGGCCGCGCGTCGCCCCTTGTGCCGCCTGTTCCGGCGCCCTGGGGGGCCGCGCGTCGGCCCCTCCCGTTTTCGTCGCGGCCCTGCCCTGCCGTCCTGCCCCGGCCCCGTCCCGGCGCCCTGGGGGGCCGCGCGTCGGCCCCTCCTGTCTTCGTCGCGGCCCTCCCCCCCCCCCCCCCCCGTAACCTCCCTACCCGCCATCCTGCCCTGCCCTGTGTTAGGGTTTGGGGGTGGCGAGTAGGGGGTGGCGGGTGTGTGGCCTCCCCTGCTCCTCCTCCTCCTCCGTCTCCCACTGCTGCAGCTGACGCTGAGGGGGGTGGGTGTGTGGGAGTCGACGGAGTGGTGCTAGGGGGTGGAGTGTGAGTGAACCTAGGGGTGCAGCAGGGGGTGTGTGAAAGGGGGGTGGGACAGTTTGGGGAGGTTGAAGGGGGGTGGCCGCCGTGAAGCCCGCAGCTCCAGTCGCCCGTGAGACCGTTGCGCCAGTCGCCCGTGAGCCCGTTGCTCCAGTTGTCCGTGAGCCCGTTGCTCCAGTCGCCCGTGGGTCCGTTGCTCCTGCCGCTCAGAGTTAGCCGCGGAGCCAGTTACTCCAGTAGTCCGTGTGCTAGTTGCTCCAGTTGCCAGTGTGCCAGTTGCTCCAGTTGTCCGTGTGCCAGTTGCTCCAGTTGCGTCGTGTGCCAGCAGCTTCAGCTGCCGCCCACTACCTCCTCTCCTCTCATAGTCCCTCCTCCTCCACACTTGCCCTCTGTGCTAGCCTCTAGTTTTACTTATATTTGTGAACTATAAACTGTTGCTTCTTGTACTTTTGCTCAGAATGTGTGGTGACATCGTGATCCACTCTGAGCTTGTTTTTTGCTTGCTTGTTGTGCTTATTACACCCCACTTTGGCTGTGGGGGTGTGTCAGAATGTTATGTTTGTCTAGCCTGCAGTGGGGTACTCAATAGTGAGTACAGCCCAATTTAGGGTTTGCTATATGTACTCAACTGCTTGCTAGTGCAACCCCTCTTTCTTGTTTCTAACTTCCATTCCTCATTTCTTCACACACCCCCCTAAAAAACTCTGCTTTAAACAGTGAAAGAATTAGGCAACATAACGCGCTCGCGAATGTGTTTCCTACGGGCCTAGCGCCGAGGTTGGCTGTCGAGGCTGTTGAGATAATATGAAGACTTAAGCACTTCAAGGATTCGTGTAGTACAGTGCGAGACTTCGCACGTAACAGTAAAGTACCGATAGGCTGACGTCAGCAAAGCGCTACGCGCCCTAGGATGACGTCAGCACGTAGCTATAGGCCTCGCGAAAAGTCACGTCAGAACAGGAATAGCACAGTACAGTAGGCGAACAGGTACTTTACTCTAGCTATATATTTTGTATGTTTGTCATTTTTAAATATATCTGATTTCAGAGACATTGATCCTGAAACATATCACTACATGGGCTTTTATTAAGTCCAGACAAAGCCTCCAAAACTTGTCAAACTTATATATGCTATAGTCTGTTTAGGCTGTAGTGGGGTAGTTCTTAGAGGGTACAACACTTTTGGGTTTCCTACTTGTACCCACCTGCCTTCTAGTTCATTCATTCCGTTCCTGATTCTAACATGGTATTCTGAGCAGGTTCCCTAGTGGGAATGTTTTTTTAGGGCCCACCACGAAATTTATCCTACCCTGCCCGAAGCGCGCATCGCGCCCTGCCTTAGCCGCCCGTCGTCGGCCCCTTAGCCGCCCGTCACGGCCCCTTAGCCGCCCGTCGGCCCCCTAGCCGCCCGTCGGCCCCTTTCGCCGCCCGTCACGGCCCCTTAGCCGCCCGTCGTCGGCCCCTTAGTCGCCCGTCACGGCCCCTTAGCCGCCCGTCGGCCCCTTAGCCGTCCGTCGGCCCCTTAGCCGCCCGTCGGCCCCTTAGCCGCCCGTCGGCCCCTTAGCCGCCCGTCACGGCCCCTTAGCCGCCCGTCGTCGGCCCCTTAGCCGCCCGTCACGGCCCCTTAGCCGCCCGTCGGCCCCTTAGCCGCCCGTCGGCCCCTTAGCCGCCCGTCGGCCCCTTTCGCCGCCCGTCACAGCCCCTTAGCCGCCCGTCGTCGGCCCCTTAGCCGCCCGTCACGGCCCCTTAGCCGCCCGTCGGCCCCTTAGCCGCCCGTCGGCCCCTTAGCCGCCCGTCGGCCCCTTAGCCGCCCGTCGGCCCCTTTCGCCGCCCGTCACGGCCCCTTAGCCGCCCGTCGTCGGCCCCTTATCCGCCCGTCACGGCCCCTTAGCCGCCCGTCGGCCCCCTAGCCGCCCGTCGGCCCCTTAGCCGCCCGTCGCGGCCCCTTAATCGCCCGTCAGCCCCTTCGCCGCCCGTCACGGCCCCTTAGCCGCCCGTCACGGCCCCTAAGCCGCCCGTCGGCCCCTTAGCCGCCCGTCGGCCCCTTAGCCGCCCGCTGGCCCCTTAGCCGCCCGTCACGGCCCCTTAGCCGCCCGTCGGCCCCTTCGACGCCCCGCCACCTGCTGCCCTGCCGCGCCGCGCCGCCTGCTGCCGCGCCGCGCCGCCAGGAACCGAGCCGCGCCGCCCAGCCGAGCCGCGCCGCCTCACCGAGCCGCACCGCCCAGCTGAACCGCGCCGCCGAACCGAGCTGCGCTGCCCTTCTCCTTGCCCTGCGCCTGCTGCCACTGCTGCTTCTGCTGCCTCTGCTGCTCCTGCTGCTACTGCTGCTACTGCTACTAAGGCTAGCCCCACTGTACTCACCTTTGATGCTGAGGGGCGTGCAGTTGAGTTTGACGTGTGGGTTGACGACCTACAGCTGTTTCTTCAGTGTGACTCTAGGGATGGGGGTGTCTCCACTGCTCCTGCTGCCACTGCTGACAGTACTGTTCGCTCGCAGTGGACCACTCGTGACGCTGTTGCTCGCCTTGCTGTTCGTAGTCACCTGCCGCCTGCTGAGCGCGCGCATTTTGGCCAGTACAAGACTGCTAAGTCTTTGTACGACGCTGTAGTTGCGCGCTACTCCTCCCCTGCCACTGCTGCCCTTAGTCGCCTCATGCTGCCGTACCTTTTCCCTGACCTTGCCGCCTTTGCCACAGTCGCTGACCTCATTACTCACCTCCGCACTAGTGACGCCCGCTACCGCGCTGCG